TATATATATATGATCTCCCTGCTTAACAAAATGCCCCCCCATACACAAGAACATTATGTATTTGGTAACTTTCTTAATTTTTAATTTTAGAGTGAAGGTATTGTACTTGTTCTAAATTTTCTAAGGTAAACTAAGTGTGCCTGTATTTTGGAAGGAATTATACCTTGTCACTAAGAAGAAAGAGACAGTGCTTTAACTTTCCAAGAAAATTAACTACAGGTAATAAGAGTCACCTGTGGCTGAAGCATCACATTAGATTATTCGGTCGAACAAGCAGGAATAAGGCAGGGAGCAGCAGTGCTGCTTGGGTGCGAGCCAAGGACACCAGAGGCCCGCTTCACAACACCACGCAACTGTTGGTTGGTCTTAAAAGTGACTCTTAAAGGCAGATGGATATTTTCATCTACCAAGAACCTACAGGTGTACAGTCCAGACATGAATTTTTTCCTGTGTATGGATTACTCACTTAACATAAAGGGCAGCAGCTAATGGATTCAGGCTGATCGAATGCACTGAGATCTTGATGCTATAAGTATGTTGAGGAACTCGGCACAACACTGTGGTTAGAAGCCGCTGTGCTAGAATTGTTACTGCTCTTTTAGGTGGAAAAGATCTAATGGTGAGGTGATGGTAATGATACCTGTTACTTAAAGCTACAAAGTACAAAAGGCACCTATAGATTATAGGTTTATAATATCTTTAAAATGTGTATTTTTAAATTTTAAGTCCAGTTTAATGCCTCAGAGACAAGTGTGGCTTATATAAAATAGTAAGCCAGCCAGAGAAAGACAAGAACCATATAATTTCACTCATACATGGAATCTAATGAACCAAATAAACTAACAAATAATATAGGAACAGACTGATAGATAGAAAACAGACTGACAGCTGTCATCAGGGAGGGTGGTTTGGGGTTGGGTGAAGAAGGGGAAGGGATTAAGCAAACAAACAAACAAAAAAACCTCATAGACACAGACAAACAGCGTGGTGATTACCAGAGGAAAAGGGGGGTGGGGCGAGGTAGAAGACGGTGAAGGGGGATACATGGTCATAGAAGGAGACTTGACCTGGGATGGTAAACACACAATACAACATACAGATGATGTATTGTAGAACTGTACACCTGAAACCTATATAATTTTATTAACCAATTTTCCCCCAGTAAATTCAATAAAAGTTAAAAATAAATAAAATAAAATAACCCATCTCAAGGGATTATTTTTTCTTTATCTGGTGTCACTTGAAGATTAACCAAGAAAATTAATATAAATAAAATAACCTTTTCCCTGATAGTGACTGAAAACAAATGTACCTATTTAAATCACACCGACAGCTTGTTTTTCTAAGAAAGAAAAGTGTTACTCTAAGATTTCTTTTAAAAAGCTAATAGTGCTTGTTTTAAACCTGGCCTGCTAAGATTTTTCAGAAGGGGGAGACAGGACTTCTTTAATTCTTCCTCTACAGTTAAAATGAGTTATGCATTCACATTAGATAGAAACTTCTGAATAAAAGCCCTTGAGTGTTTTATTTCAGTTTGGATTGTTGAATCTTTAACAATTCACTTTTAAGTGACTGCAATTAACAGCAGTTTTATATGTGGCTGTATTTATATGAGGAGACTAAGTCAATCCAGTTGGAAGTGTTTTGTAATATTAAGAATAGTGTAGAAAAATCAATTGTACTTCCATAAATTGCCCCTGATGTTATTGGCTTTGATTAAACCATTCTAAGGGAAGATCCAGTTGTGTTCATTCAAACTGAAGTAATTGGCTCTTTTATGTTGCCTGTTTTTTATTATCAACGTACAGACCCAAAGGCCAGCAAACTTTCTTTCAGTCTGTGTTCAACTATTTAAACCATGTGCAAAGGGGACACATGGAGCAATTTTCTTCTGTAGCTCTTCTGCCTGAGAATTTTATAACTCGGAGGAGCTTATTGATAAAATGCATGAGAGAAAAGTAAATGGTTTGTGACTTCCTAGATAAAAAGAGGGAAGTATACAGACGAAAAAACCCCATGAAAAATGCGAAATTAAAAATAGAATTCTGGAATAGTTTTATGCTTTCATTTGTTCATTTGTTTGTTTAATGAAAATTGTGAGGTTCTAGTCATGTGAACCCAAAGTAGGCAGTAGGTATAGAAACCTCCAGGAAGGGTGTCATACTGATGAGAGCTCAGATGATTTCTATGGGCATTTTTTTAAACATACGATTGCCCAGGGAAAGGTGGCAATTCTGTTTGGGTGGCATCTAATTATGACAGCCTACACCTACGCGGTGAGCGATCATGTAGAAAGAGCTATTTTCTTTATGGTATCCTTCTATAACCATATGAGGAAGACGGGCATTATTGTCACCATTTTACAGATGGGAAGGTTGAGGTGCTGAAGAGGTTAAGTGGGACTAGCTCTTTTTTATAAATGATGGGCCCCACATTTTCTAGCTCTGGCCAGGAACAGAGCCCATTGGTATCACTGTCCATTGAGGGAGATTAAATGACTTAGCGTCATGCAAGAAAGTAAAGGTTTTTTCTTAGTACTTTAGAATTTAGAAGTGGGAATTCAGAAAGAGGTACTCCGATAATTTGTCTTAAAGTAGACCATTTAGCTTTTTAAATGAAGTCAGTTAATCATTCGTTATGTAACGTGTGCTAAGCACTGACAGCAAAGTAAGGGTCAACTTCATTATGGAGAGTTAACTGCAGTGCCTTCAATGATAAAAATAATTACCTTCAGCGATTACCCAGAGTGAAAAAGACGTTTTTGCTCCGTGGGGCCACTCTTTACCTTGCCTGCCGTGATGCCTCCTTGCTCCGATCAATGTATGTTCACCACGCTTTATTAGAGCCACTTGTTTTTATACAGCGTGAACTGAAGTGACAATGCGCTAAAGGCGGTCTTCTCTTCTTTCTTTCATTCGCAACCAGGTGAAACTGGGTGAAGATGCCCCCAATTCCAGCGTGGTGCATGTCTCCAATCCCGAAGGAGGCGACAACGGTGAAAATGGTGCCCAGGAGAAGACAGTGGATGGCGCCGAGTGCCACCTCCTGGACTTCGCCAGCCCCGAGCGCCCGCTGGTGGTCAACTTCGGCTCGGCCACTTGACCGCCCTTCACTAAGCAGCTGCCGGCCTTCAGGAAACTGGTGGAGGAGTTCTCACCCGTGGCCGACTTCCTGCTGGTCTACATCGATGAGGCCCATCCCTCAGATGGCTGGGCGGTGCCCGGGGGTTCTTCTTTGTCGTTCGAGGTGAGGAAGCACCGGAGCCAGGAAGACCGATGCGCGGCAGCCCACCAGCTCCTGGAGCGGTTCTCCTTGCCGCCCCAGTGCCGAGTGGTGGCCGACCTCATGGACAACAATGCCAACGTAGCTTATGGGGTAGGCTTTGAACGCGTGTGCATTGTGCAGAGACAGAAAATTGCTTATCTGGGAGGAAAGGGCCCTTTCTTCTACAACCTTCAAGAAGTCCGGCGATGGCTGGAGAAGAATTTCAACAAGAGATGAAATCTAGATTAGCTGGTTAAAGGTATGATTGCAATAGAGCTTTTTTTTTTTTTTTTTTTTTTTTTAAATATATATATGGAAAGGGAAGGAAACTAAGAACTGAATCCACTATTTCAACTGAATCTCATTGCCTCTCTGAAAGATAGGAACTTATATGTCAGAAGAACATAAACCTCTAACATCTCAATGCTTCTTTCACCACTCAAATGGCATTTGGCTAAGCAGTAGCCCCATCATTTCTCTTTCTAGAAAAAACAAAACAAAAAAACCCTGTAAAAAATTTCTGATGGAAAGGATCCCAAGATGGAGAGGAAGAAACCCTGCTTGCTACAGCTGATGCATGTTTTGGGGCCTGAAGGAAAGACATACCTGAATAACTACCATGTTAGGGAAGCTAGTGTTCTTATTAATATGAGGGGTATGGCCTAGGCTTTATTCAGCATGAACAGAGTTCAACTAGAAAATCCTTAAATATCTACTTAGAATGAGGCCTTGAACCCAGGCCATGTGGTTAGGGCCTTGGTGTTTAATATGTTAGTTTCTGATGTCCTAGTTTCTACCATGTAGTGCTCTTTGCCAGTCTAAACATCCCAGAACTCATAGGTGCATTTGTAGGTATCAAGAACGATTCCTACCTGGAGGGTTTGAATGATCATCTGAAATCTGAGAGTTACTTTTGAGGCAGGCAAGGAAAGCACTAGAAGAAAACCAAGTTGACTAGCTAGGAAAAAGAGGCAGAAGGATTAGGAAGCTTCATAGAATGTCACCTTGAGAGTGGGGCTTATTTCATACCCACAGAAACATGGAAACATACACAAAGCCAGAAAAAAAAGAAGCTCAATGAAAAGTAGCATAGAGAATATACATAGGAAATTTATGTATTTATCATATAGTCCTACATTGAGGGGGAAAAGGGGAATTGGGAGAGAAAAAACCACACTCTAATATTTATATTTCTGAGAGTTTTTTTTGAGAAATAATTAGTTTTTCAAACATGTTTATGATGTGTATATTCTCAGTGGGTGAATTACACCCCACGATACTGATTAAAGGTAAAACCAGTGGGTCCAGTAGTGCTGGTCTGTCCCTCTCCATCCCTACAATTATGGTGTGGCCCTAGTCACTCATGATCTCAGTCTCTGTAGAAGTGTATTCTCAATGCTGAGCTCTTCAGCTCAAAATATGTGTATACAGTCACTCTCAGATGCTGTGGGAGGTATGTGCCCTCCCCATTTGGCTGAAATACTGTTTTCCTTTCGAAGTAGGTGAACTATAATGAAAGATTGGTACAAACAAACACAGTTTCTTCAGTTGCAAAATAGAGGAAGAGAAAATTAATTTGAAATAATTCCCATCAGTAATTTTGGAGGTTTTGATATGAGGCAATCCTCAGTAGCATGGAATTTGGTTAAATGGAATTCCCATTGACATTTGAATTTGGACTTGGGTCTTCCTTTTTTGCTATTAGCTGAGGTCTTGTAATCTAAGGCCTTTATAGTACATTAATATAAAGTTATTTTAATATATCTATACCATATTTCTCTTTAAAATGAAGACATGATAGTTTTACCTATAAGTAACATAAGTAATATTTAAATATCATAACCTCCAAAAGAATAGGCCTACAGATTTTGTATCATAAATTTAAGGATGCTATCAAGTCACGGTGTATGGTTGTGTTTATATGTACAAAGGTTCTTATGACCATTCCGTTAGTAATTGAATCATAAAATAAAACTAGTAGAAAAAGCTATCTAAAGTTGAAAATATCTTTCTGAACTAGTTGCCCTAAATGAAAAAGATGTTGGAACTGAGTTTGCAAAAACCAGAAGTCTATTTTTTTTAAAATTGGAATAACATAGTAATCCTATTACTAGTCAGTTTATTGTGTAGGTATTAAAGGACCATTTTAACTGACAGCAACATTGAAGCTTCTCAGTAGTTTAAACTCTACAAAACATACCCACAAAGAAACAAAGCAGAGTTTGAAAATGGGTCTCTATCTAACAAGTTTCTGGAAAGTCACATTGATAATAGATTATTTTGGAGTTAAATAGTTCAACTCTATAACTCAAAGCTTATCCATGGGCCCCATTGATTTTTATCTTCAAAATGGTGATGAGATTTCTGTGGTACATAAAAGCACAATTGGTTGCAACCCACCACCGTGTTGTCCTTAAACTCCCCCTTTGTTCTACATGTGCAATAATGGAACAGGATGTTAGAGAAGCTGGTGGGGGGATGAGATTTGGCGAAGGCAGTTAGTGCTGGTCGTCTGGGGAAAGGACAAATAAACAATCACCCAGTTGTGATCCCTTTTTAAAGAAAGAGAAAGTTGCATGCATGCAGTTCCTCTCTCTGAGGATAATCCAATGGAGAAATGACGCAGTGGAAGTAGACATACAAAGGCATAGGCTGAATATCAGGGAAAACGATATGTTCGATAGAACATAGAAGAGTCACTGGAAGAAGGACTGTTGGGGGGCCAAGGAGAACGTGAATTGACAAAGCTCAGGAATCCTGCAATATATAGCATGGCTTGGTGTTATCAGAATGATAAGCCTGTAATTGTGTAACCTATTTATCTCAATAGGAACTTTCATGATTTCCTGTGATGTATCTTTTATGAACTTAACAAGAACTCATTATTTGAGATAGAGGGGAATCGATGCTTAGCTGATATGCTCAGAGAAATTATTCGATTGTCAGTACCCACCCAACCAATCCTGTCTTTTATGAAGAATGTTCCTTTGGAAAATTGTAGTTCTTAGGCTCACAAGGCAAAATGTTACATATATGTATATATTTAAAATTTTATATGGAAAGCTTTGAGTTGTTTTTAGTACCTAAGCATCTTTTCCCCCTGTGTTTACATGGAGCTATCAGTTTAGCCTTTTAAACTGAATTAGCTCGTCTGTTATTGAAATAGTTTCCAAGCTATTTTAGGTATTCTCATAGCATCTGGATTCTCTCAAACATGTAGTGTTTGAAAGACTTATGTCTTGGAACTATTCAAAACTTACTTTATTTTATTTTTATTTTATTTTATTTGAAAATAGTAGTGGAATCAACAACGACTTTTTTAAACGGGCATGAATGAAATGCCTGCACAGTAATGTAGACGTATTTGATACAGGCATTCAAATGTAACTGACCTCTTTAGAAACAGATTAGAACCTCCGTTCTTGCTTTGTATAGCTAAAGTGACAGTCATTTAACTTATCTGACTTTTTATATTTATATTTTGGATCTCCGGTCCTATGTCTTCACCTTGTTTATAGAATGTACCCCTGATTTTTGGCAATATCAACTTCTAAATGGCGTATTGATTTAGTTAAATTCTGCCATTAACCAGGAAATGCCTATTCTATGATCAAGGAGAAAAGAAAAGACGGCTGCCTTTCATTTCGCTAGAGTATATTTCACCAGCTGGGCTCTTGAATAAAAATTAGGAAATTTTGTGAGGTCATGCTTGAGTACTGCCCGGCTGCCTAAAATCCCAGAGAGGCAGGTGAAAGGCAGTACCTAGGCCTTCGGGAAAACTCCCAGCTGGATGCAAGGTAGCCTCGGCATGTCCTATGGGCTATGCCCATAGCAAGGGGAATGCACTGATGTACAGGACTCCCCATTCTGTAAATCCTAAGAGGGCCAACCTGGACATTTATTCCACTTGACCTCTGACAGATGGTTTGGAAAAATAAGCTCAATTAGAATTACGTGGCCATTGCAAAGAGGAAAACACAGACATCGACTTCTGTCCCATTGAAGAATTAATGAAAACCTCTACCAGCATTTAAAGCTTTTCAGAACATGCCCAGTGTGGTATCTCCCAGCAGTGGAGATTAACAATGAGCTTTTTAATCTAGGAGCTTTTTTGTTTTTTTAAAAAAAGATATTGCCAAAAATCAGAGCTAAAGTGGTTTTTTGTTATATTCAAACCTCCTCCCTGCTTCCTCCTTTATCTTAAAAATAGAAGCTAAACCCAGTCTTGATGTGCCAGTCTAGAATGGGGCACAAGGACCGACCTCTGCTTGGCCATTAGCACTCTTGCAGTGTCCTGAGGTCCTCTAGGAAAGAAGGGGCGGGGCCTGGGGGACTCGGGAAGCTGTTAACTGGGAAGACCTGGGCTCCGAGGGCCTGGTCTGCTGATTTGGGAAGATTCTAAAAGAAGCTTCGCACCTTTGGAGGAGGGCTGTGTGTCACTGAGTGACTAGGATGAGCCAAAGGGCCACTTCCTAAGGCCTTACATTCTGGATAGCACCAGAAGCGAGGCCTCAGACTTAAGAGACCCAGCTCTGTTCCACAGTGAGTCTGAACCAACAGAAAGCAAACATGTGCAGACATCCAAACAAGACTGCTCATGCAAGTTGGGGCTCGCTGCCTGTCTTGGGCAGCAGCACCAGAGCTCCAGGGAGTTTATTTAATATTTATTGAGGAGACTTCGAAGACCCGGGCGATGTTTAATGAACTCATTATTTTGGCTCAAAACTCCCCTCCCCCCAAAAAACAAACAGGTAAACACAGAAATGAAAGAAGCCCACAGAAGGGGTTGGTAAATGAGTAAAATTCTCTCAAGGCTTCTACAGGCCACGTCACTGGTGGGTGTGGTTTTCACGTGTGTGAGAATTGGGCAATGTGAATGCAGAAGTGTCCAGTACTTTACAACCAAAGCAATGAAAAGATATTGGGTAGGGAATGCTGGCCAGTTTTGTTTAGTTTTGCATCACATTATCACCAGACTCCATCACTTGCCCAAGTAATCGGGCCCCCGAAGCGGGAGATTGGGATGTGCGGAGGCTGCCAGTGTGCGAATGATAACTGCTGACGAAAGAGTCATCGACTCAGTTAGTGGTTGGATGTAGTCACATTCGTTTGCCTCTGCCCATCTTTGTCTTCCCAGCAAGGAGAATATTCGGGGCACGATGCCTGGAGTACTGGGTAAATGTGGTGAGAACGCATGAGTGTATCTGCTCCTTGGTTGCAGAAACAGAAATGCTTTGGAGACTATCAGTAGAAAGAG